AACGTGGTCTTCCTTCTTCTTGCTTTTGATCAGGATGTCGTCCACGTAAGCCTCCATGGTCTTTCCCAGTACGTCTTTGAACAACATCCCGATCATCCTTTGGAAAGTGGCCATGGCATTCCTCAGGCCGAATGGCATGACCACATAACAGTACACGCCGTCCGCTGCGACGAACGCCGTTTTCTCTGCATCATCAGGGTGCATGAACACCTGATGGTAGCCTCTGAACGCGTCCATGAAGCTGAGCAGTTCGCAACCCGCCGTTTCATCTACGAGCAAGTCGATCCTCGGCACCGGATACGGATCCATCGGGCAGGCCTTGTTGAGATCCGAGTAATCGACGCACATCCGCCACGTGTCGCCTTTTGGGGCTAACACCACGTTAGCTAGCCACTCCACGTGGATGACCGGCCGGATGTGCTTGATGCTGAGGAGCGTAGCAGCCTCCTTCTTGATGAAATCTCGCCGCTCGGCTGCCATGTACCTCTTCGTCTGTTGGATAGGTTTGGCATCCGGCCGTACGGCGAGTCTGTGGCATATGAGGTTGGGGTCTATGCCAGGCATGTCCTCCGGTCCCCTGGCAAATAGGATTTTGAACTTCCGGAGGATGGCTATGACCCCCTCCTTGATCTCAGGTTCCAGATCGGCCCCGATGGACACCTTTCTGTCCGAAGGGTCATCCAACTCCACCTCTTCGAGCAGGGCAGCCGGTTCCAGACGGGCGTCGAAGTCGGCCCGCCTGGCTTTCTCAGTGATGCTGTTGACACGGGCTTCTCGCTCTCTGAACCTCTCCATGGCCTTGGTGTAGCAGGCCCTGGCCATGTGCGGATCCGTGCGGGCAACTCCCACTCCTGTCTCGGTGGGGAACTTGATGCATGAGTGCCGCACGGAGCAGATGGCCTCAAGATCCTCCAAGCCGGGGCAGCCTAAAATCGCGTTGTGGGCACACTTCAGGCGGACCACGACGAAAGTCATCCGGATGCGAGTAGTGTGGGGTCCATCCCCGATCTCCACGGGGAGGCCGATAGTGCCTTCCGCATCGATGCAGTCCCCTGTGAAGCCAGAAAGAGGGGTACGTAGGGGGGCCAGCTGATCCTTCCTCAACTTCATTCCCTCGAACGCCTCCTAGTAGAGGACGTTCACGCTACTTCCCGTATCAACAAGGACGCGTCGGACGATCGCATTGTTGACATCCATGCTGATCACCAACTCATCCCGGTGGGGGGCCGGTGACATCGGCAGGTCGGCCGGTCCAAAGGTGATGGCCTCCACCTTGTTCTTTTTGGCGGGGGGTGCTGATATGGAGCCCACATAGAGGGATCTTTCAAACTTCTTCCGTTCCGCAGGCGTGTCCCCAGTCTCAGCGCCCCCAAAGATCACCTTGATCTCCAGCTTCTTTTTCCCACCGTTCGGGCCGAGGGATCCCTCCGGACGTTTGTCAGCACTCCGATAGTCTACGTCTTTCGGTTCCGCCTCGCGCCGATCGTCGCGGCGCCATGATCGCGACCTGGGATTCGGCTGCCTCGGGTTATTCTTCTTCAGCAGTTGGGTAAACTCGCCCAAGTAGCCTTGCCGGATCAGTTCGTCGATGGCCATTCTCAATTGCTTGCAGTTGTCGGTGAGGTGGCCGACCCTCTGGTGATATTCGCAGTATGCGGTCTCATCAAGACCCATAAGCGCTTTTTTGTCTTGGGGCTCCCTTAGGATGCCCTTGTCTTTGATGGCGTCGAAAATCTGGCTGACGGGGTAAGCCAGAGGGACGTGGTATTCGTCCGGACGTATGCGGCTGGCCTCCGGATGAGCCTTCCACGGAACCATGCCGCTGTCCGTCTTCTTCTTTTTGTTTGGGGGGGATGGTCCGCCTCCAGGGCCGAGCCTATCCGCCAATTTCCGGGAAAGGGCTGCAGGAGCGCCGTCCCTCAATCTGATCTCCTCCTCAATGGAGGCATACTTCTGCGCCCGAGCCAGCACCTCAGTGTAGCTGGTGCTGGGATTCCTCCGAAGGTCCCGGTATAGGTCCCCCGTCGCCAGAGCACTGGTGAACAGATTTACCCCCAGCCGCTCGTCCAGGTCGTCCACCTGGAGTACTTCGTCTCTCCACCTGACCAGGAATTGGGCCAGAGGTTCGTCCTTCCCTTGCTTCACACTCGTGAGCGATGTGAAGCTCTTCTTAGGGGTGGTGCTGGCAGCGAATTGTGCCATGAACTGCTGGGACAGCTGCTCGTAGTTGTCAATAGATCCGGGCCTCAGCTGCCCGAACCATTCCTGCGCTGGCCCCCTCAGGGTGCTGAAGAAGAGCCGGCAGATAGCCTCATCTGAGGCCCCCAGCATGGAAAGGTTCCCCTGGAAGCTGATCAAGTGAGCCTTGGGATCCCCGGTCCCGTTGTATACTATCCCCTGGGGGGGTCTGCAGTCCCGAGGGATCTCTGCATTCATGACCCTTGGAGTGAAGGGTGAAGTGAGGGAGAAACGCGGCGTAGCTGGGGTGGCCTCCGCCCGTCTGTCCATTTCGGCTATTCGCCGTTCCATTGCCTCTAGCCGGGCCTCCTGTGCGGCCCTTCCGGGGGACACAGGAGGGGCGGCCTCGAGCGCAATGTTCCTTCGAGGGACAACCGCGTCGGGTTGCCTCCGGGTAATATGGGCACCATGCCTTTGGAAACGTCGTCCAATATTACTGGCAGCGGGGGCAATGGTGGTGCCCTGATGTTCTGAGGGAACGTCCGGCGTACGCCCCCGATGATCGTCCTGCCAACCATACCGAGGGGTGCTGGCGTTAGTGTGCCCCCCAGCTTCGTGGGAGGACGGATTTTGACCCAACCTCATGTGGATGGGCGTTCGACGCCCGGCAGATTCCACTGTCTCGTCCAGGGACTGCATGCGGTGGATAGGTGATATGGGCGTCCAGATGGTGTTAGCTGAATACACCTCTTCGTTCGCCTCCTGTTCGTCCGCCATTCGGCGCATTGTTTCTGCCAGCTCCCTCATGAGTCGAGGGTCATGCCTGGCCTCATGGGGGATGAGGTTTGTGAGGCCACCCTCACCCCCAGTCGTCCCCAACGTCTCGGAGCGTTCTGTGGTTTGCCCGCGGTTGCTTCGTCCGCGGGACAGCTGCTCGGAGAGGTCGCGTTGGCGGTTGTTTCTTGTCATCGTGCTTGCTGCGGGTAGATTCAGTAGCTATTTGGGAGAGTTTTTTGGAAACTTTTTGTTCAGTTTCCCACAGACGGCGCCAGTGTTGAGGTTTATTCCTTCAACCCCCGGGTCCAACACGTAAGCCCAAGGATTTCGAATGGAGTGTGTGATTAAACTAGCCCAACAAGCAGATGGTATGGATTAGGAAAGCAGTAAGGTAGCAAGCAAATGATTAGGTATTATTATCTCTTAATAACTCCCTAATACAATGCTTTTCGCTAAGGCTCCGTCGGCCGTTCGTCTCACAAGGCAGTAGAAGTGCTGCAAGTAAGAATGCTATAGCTATCGTGCTAATAATAGAAAGTTGCCAACCCTTTACAATGAAATATGTCACGCCCCGGACCTTCCCGGACACGTCAACAACCCGCCGTACAGTACGAATAGTCAACCGCAGTCCAACTCATCCATACTATACAAGGCGTCTTGAATACCATTCACATTAGTACATCCATAAACAATCACAATGTAAATCATTTAATTAAGCAGCGGAAATATTAATACAAGCATTCGAGCCACACGTGGCAAACACGGGCGTGCAAGCCCTAAATAATTATTCGGAAAATAGTATCCATGAGCATTAATTTGAATGTTTTAAAACAGAAACGGAGGAAGCACGAACCACGTCTCCTCTCCTTGATAATCCGCCCGAAGCAACGGTGATGGTAGCACCCTTCAAGTTCTACCTGAAACTGTGAGGTGGCCTCCCCCGTGAAGTGGAGGTCAGTACTTGGAAGCATTTGACAAGTACAATGACAACTATACTAAGTATAATCAAAGTTTCAATTTCCAAGACCCTCAATCTAGGATGTTATTATATTATAGGTCATAACCCGTGGTTATCCTCTTTTGAAAGTATACTTACTTTATATATATAGTCAAGTAATCGCCCGAAGGCCCATGTTTACTTTGGAAACATTTAACCCTTTCCCCGTGACTTCAAGCCACACCCATCTATATTAGTTTACCATGCTAGAGGCTTCCTCTAGTCATGTTTTGTCGTGCTAGAGGCTGACTCTAGTCACTCCACTTGGTGTTAGAGGCTTCCTCTAATCACCTTACATACGTTGTGCTGGAGGCTTCCTCCAGTCACATTACGTTACGCTAGAGGCTTCCTCTAGTCGTCCTACACGAATGCTGGAGGCTTGATCGGGCTGAACTTGCAAGTATACAAGTGCCGATGTAGTAATAAATTACCGGTAAATACCGGGTCGATCCACAGGGAAATGGGTTGATATTATAAAGTCGAGTATTGAATGCAAAGATTGTAAATGGTATAGTTTTTAGGAACTTTGTTCTTTAAGGTTGATTTAAACAAGAATAAGAATTACTAAGGCAATCGGGATTCACCTAAATGCTTTAATAGTTATTTAATAATAGTTCTTTCCCAATAATCGTGAATACGATGTCGCTAATATATTCTCAACTCCGGTTAAGGCAGCGAGAGCGTGGTTTTCGTTACGTGTAAGTCCCGTTACGGCTTACATTCATCTACCAAAAACCCCGTTGAATATCAAGACATCACACCCGTATCATATAAGACCGGATATATTTCTATTCTCGGTACTATATATGTTTATCCTTTAATGTTCATAGTTTAGACTTCAACGTTAATTGCAAGCATAAACTAAATTTAACATACTTCTATGTTGTACACCATAGTCATAAACAATCAAAATATAAAGGATAAATCACAATTTATTGGTTTAGAACTTTTATCAAACACCTAGTGTACATAGAGGTTCATCCCTAGCCTTAGCTAAGAAATTAGCCTCTAATGCTCATATTAATCACAATACAATATTGAAATGTAATGGAACATGAAATTACAAAGGAAATAATACCTAAACACCAATGGTTTCGGAGGTTGAAGTTTCCTCCTCAAGAACTTGAAGAACAAAAGCAAAAACAAAGTATAAAGACTAAAAATTAATCTATGGAATGGAATGATCCTCTTGTTTGATGAATTGGGGGCTTTATATAGGCTAAAGATTGGCATCTTTTAGTCCATTCGAGCCCAGCAATCAAGCATGGAAGAAATATTTGATCAGATCATTAGGAAAGTGGGTTTTTCCCATCAAGATCTTGCTGCACGTCTCTATGTTTTGTGCAGAATCGGGATTAACCGGCGCCGGTTATAGGGGTGGACCGGCGCCGGTTGACCTTCGGCACACCGTGGTAAAGCTGTTTAAGATGAAACCGGCGCCGGTTTTAAAGCATGACCGGTGCCGGTTTTCCCCTGCACTGCAATTCTTCATTTTTCGCTCCATTTTACGCCCGTGGCTGACCCCGAAGTGTCGGTTCTCGGCCCCTTTTGATCGTTGACTCCCGTTTCTTCATCTTTGATGTATTTGTGCGATTTTTTACTCAAAATGGGATTTATACCTGCTCTGTCTTTGAATATTTGTACAGATAATCATAATTACCTATATAAAATATAGGTAACTATTGTGCTTATCAAATCCCCCACACTTGAGCATTGCTTGTCCTCAAGCAATTTCTTCACCTTTGGATGTCTTGGTTAGTTTCAACAAAAATATATGAACAAAAATAAATCAATTTTTTTAAGAGAGATAAAAAAAATGACATATAAACTCTTTTATCATTCTCGGTCCAAAAACCATTTTTTTCAATTAAACACAAAAAGTATCATTTAGATTTAGAAAACTACTTATACTCTTGAAAATAAAGGAATGATTTGTGACTATGGTTTTTTTTTTTGGGTGAGTGGGATGGCTTTTTGGTGTTTTTGACTTTTAAGTTGTATGAATCAATTGAACTTCCAAGATGAGACCATGAGTTTTTTTTTTTCTTTTCTTTTTTTTTTTTTTTTTTTTTTTTTCAAACTCATTTGAGAAGGTCTTCAACTAGTATTTACTGAAAGTCATTTGATGATGCCAATTTATTTGATGAGGTGTGAGAGTGGGTTTTGTGTTCCAAAATGGTGCTTGAATGTAGTATTTGACCATTTTTGGAAATGAAGGAAGGAGATGCTTTCTAGTCACAAGAATTTTTTTTTTTTTTTTTTGGAATAATTTTCAAGAGTAAAGGGTAGTCTAAAAAAATGATAGGTTTTTGTAAATAATTAAAAAAAACTTTCTCAACCAAATACCCGTTAAAAAGAGAAATATGAAAATTTTACCTTCCTAAAAAAAAAAAATTATTTTTGCACACATAATTTGTTTTAACTACCCATGAGATGCACCCCCCCCACACTTATAATACATTGTCTCAATGTATCATGCATGATAAACAAAATACTTTCAACATCCACAATAAAATGTGTTTGAGAAAAGCAATGTCATAGAAAAAGCATTAACAACAACGCTGTAATTAATTTTCCGGGTCTTGAGGGGGGTACCCATGTTGGGAGTAGTAGTAGTCGGCGAATCTGTCGAAACGCTCCTCAAACCTCTGTTGTCTCTCCTCTTGCGTGTCCATCCGCGTATGCATGCGGGCCATGGAGTGCATCAAGTAGGCCATCGCGGGGTCGGTAGTGTGTGGCGGTTGTGGTGGCACCGGTGGCTCGGGTACGGCTCCATCGTCGTGAGCATCCTCCATTTCTTCTTCTCCATGTACCTCTTCCGCTCTCCTCGCCTCCTCCTCATCATGTAAGTTAGCAAAAAATCGTCCGGGGAACGTCCACTCTCCATCCGAAAGTTTATGTTGAAGGGCGGCCATGGTGGTATTGTCCAAAATGTTGGAGTCATCTGTGTAGATGACTTCTTCTCCTCTTAAATCCACCTTATAATGTTTGAATACCAAGGTGAGTAAAAGAGGAAAACAAAAGTTTTTGTCACCTCTTTTGGAGAGCACCACGGTCTTCATATCTTTGATAATGAGGTGGGGGAGAGATATTTTCGGAGTTTCTCCCAACCCCTCTACCATTTTAGAGAGAAGGTAGAGGTCTATTTTTCGGATGACATGACGGTCACTTGCTCGGGGGACAAGGTTGAATCCAATGAGATAAATGATGAGTCGCTCACGGATGTTCAAATATTTAGTGAAGAGCTTTGGGAGTTCATACCTTTCCATTGTTCGAACTTCATCATAAGTCTTGTCACTGGAGATTCCTTTAAGGGTAAATTCCAGGGTTGTGCCGTCATCGGGGACCTTGAGGAGGCGGGAGAGAAAACTTGGATCAATCTTTATGTTCTTGCCTTTGACAAATGAGTGAATGACGGCATACCCAGTTTGTTTGTCCGTGATGTTGGCGTAGAACTCACGGACCAGTTGGGGGTAGTACGCCCCTGTTAGGGTAAGCATCACAGCCCACCCTAGCTCCATGAATGCCTCCGTTAGTTCAAAAGTGGCGTCGATGATCGGGTCAACTGTTTTCTCCACCACCATTCCCCATTTTTTTCTTGTTTCGTACCACTCCTCATTTTCATGAGAGGTGAAACGGGGGTGGGAGTATGAAGAAGAAGAGGCACCGTCATTTTGCTTCCTTTTTGGGGCCATACCTGCATGGTTAGAAGAGAAATAGGCACACAACACCATAAACTTCATCAATTCAAGGTATATTTTTCTAAATTGTTCATTAATTTTCCCAAAATTTCAAGTTTAATCACAAATTAAATGCAACAATGATGTTTGGAATGTTTATATATCAACACAAAAGTATTTCAGTGTTATTCAAGTCATCAATTGTAGAAATAATTTGAAATTAAGCATGAAATTCGGACCTAGGGTTGAAAAAAAAGAAAAATTTGCAAGAACTTCCCCCAATTCTCAACTTTAATCTGAAACTTTTGGCAAGAGTCATGTTTACATTCATCATATAAGCACAAGTGATCAACTTCTAACAATTATAAACATGTAATTCGGCCAAAAATCGAAGAAGAAGCAAGGATTTCGAAAATTGAAAAAAAAATTGGGGGTTTAGCTTTTTTACCTTGATTTTGTGGAGAAGAAGCTTGAAGATGATGTTGTGGAGCCTTGAGAGTGATGGGTTTGGGTTGTTTTGACCTTAGAACTCGAAGCTATGGAGATTTGAGGGAGTGGGTGTCGTTTTTTTGGGAGCTTTCGTCCGAGGGGTTGCTGTTTTGGCTCGTGAGAATGACGGAAAGACGAGCTGGTGTTGGGTTAAAAACGGGTCAACCGGCGCCGGTTATAGGGGTGGACCGGCGCCGGTCTTTGTTCGAATTTTCAAAAAATGACAGGTTTTAGTATAACCGGCGCCGGTGATACGTGTATACCGGCGCCGGTTTTCCCCTGGGACTGACATCTCCGGTTGAAACATCAAAACCGGTGCCGGTTATTCCATAAAACCGGCGCCGGTTGACCTTCGGGATCCGACTTTTAAGCCTACGTTAATCAAACCGGTGCCGGTTTGGTCACCCGACCGGCGCCGGTTATTCAATTTTTTTTTTTTTTTTTTTTTTTTTTTTTTTTTTGTTTCAATTATAAATAAATATGGATACTTGTGTTTGTGTAAACGAACATATTTATTTATAATTGGGTGTTGTTCAATTATAAATAAAAGATGAATACTTCGCATCATTAAACATATTTATTTATAATTGAAATTATTTTTGTTGGGTTGCCTCCCAATTAGCGCTCAGTTTAACGTCGTAGGCCGGACGCAACGTACCTTTTTACTCCTCCAATGGGCAAACGGCGGTTGCCGAGGTGTTATGATACTCCATGTATGGCTTGAGTCGGTGACCATTTACAAGGAATGGGGTTTGGTCACCGTTTTGAATCATCATTGATCCGTATGGTCGGACCTCGGTGATTGTATATGGTCCGGACCATCGGGATTTGAGTTTTCCAGGGAATAATCGGAGCCTTGAGTTGAAAAGTAATACCTTTTGTCCGACGTAGAACTCCCTTCGGTTAATGTTTTTGTCGTGCCAAACCTTTGCTTTTTCTTTGTAGATGCGGGAGTTCTCATATGCATCCCGTCGGAGCTCTTCTAGTTCATTGATTTGGAGCATTCTCTTTTCTCTCCCAAGTGTGGTATCAAGGTTCAGTTGAGAGATAGCCCAATGAGATTTATGCTCAAGTTCCACAGGGAGATGACATGGTTTGCCATAAACAAGCCGGAAAGGGGACATACCGAATGGAGTTTTAAATGCTGTTCGGTATGCCCATAAGGCATCATCTAGCTTTAGAGACCAATCTTTCCTTGAAGAGTTGACCGTCTTCTCAAGAATGGATTTTATTTCGCGGTTGGACACTTCTACTTGTCCATTAGTTTGAGGATGGTAAGTGGCTCCGGTTTTGAACATACACCCGTATTTTTTTAGGAGGCCGGCAAAATGAGCATTCTTGAAATGAGTACCATTATCACTAATGATACTCCTAGGAACCCCAAATCTTGAAAAGATGTTCCTTTTTACAAACTCCACTACCGATTTGGCCGTGTTATCCGGTAGAGCAATGGCCTCCACCCACTTGGATACATAATCAACCGCAACAAGGATGTATTCCTTCCCATGAGATTTAGGGAAAGGGCCCATGAAATCTATTCCCCATACATCAAATATTTCAACCACAAGAATCATGTTTTGTGGCATCTCATTCCTTCGGCTCAAATTTCCGGTGCGTTGACAACGGTCACAAGCTAGGACAAAGCTCCTTGCATCCTTGAAGAGTGTTGGCCAAAAGAATCCACATTGGAGGATTTTAGCTGCAGTTCGGTCCGGTCCATGATGTCCTCCACAAGGGAGATTATGACAATGAGCAAGGATAGATAGCATCTCCTCATTTGGAACACACCGTCGTATAATTCCATCGGCACAATGCTTGAACAGATATGGCTCATCCCAATAGTAATGTTTGACATCATGTAAAAATTTCTTCCTTTGATGGAAAGTGAGCTCTTGGGGAAGAATTTCTTTGGCAAGATAGTTCACAAAATCTGTGAACCAAGGTAAGGGAACCCCCTTCACTTCCATGAGTTGCTCATAAGGAAAATCATCATGAATTACCTCCACATTTGTAGTGGCGTTTGGCTCAAGGCGAGAGAGATGATCTGCTACAAGATTTTCACTTCCTTTCTTGTCCCGAATTTCCAGGTCAAATTCTTGGAGTAAAAGCACCCACCGAATTAATCGTGGCTTAGCATCCTTTTTATTCATGAGGTACCGGATGGCGGAGTGATCGGTGTAGACAATCACTTTTTGGCCAATGAGGTAAGACCGAAATTTGTCAAAAGCATAGATGACGGCTAGGAACTCTTTCTCCGTTGTTGCATAATTAAGTTCCGCATCATGGAGTAACCTCGATGCATAGTATATGGCATGAAGTTTCTTTTCTTTTCTTTGACCTAGCACAACCCCAATGGCGTGGTCGCTAGCGTCGCACATCAATTCGAACGGTAGAGACCAATCCGGTGAAATGATTATTGGGGCCGAAGTAAGAGCCTTCTTGAGAGTGTTGAAGGCTAGCAAACAAGATGGAGAGAAATCAAAAGTAGCATCCTTGGCAAGTAAATCACAAAGTGGTTTTGCGATTTTTGAAAAATCTTTGATGAATCGCCGGTAAAAACCGGCATGCCCCAAAAAGCTTCTTATGGCTTTTACCGAATGAGGAGGTGGCAATTTTTCAATAACCTCCACCTTGGCTTGATCAACTTCGATGCCTTGAGGGGAGATTTTGTGCCCCAAGACAATGCCTTCGGTTACCATAAAGTGACACTTCTCCCAATTAAGAGCAAGATGGGTTTCTTCACATCGGACGAGCACTTTTTCAAGGTTATTTAGGCAAACATCGAATGAATTTCCAAAGACTGAAAAATCATCCATAAATACCTCCATATAATCTCCGACCATGTCCGAGAAAATAGCCATGACGCACCTTTGAAAGGTCCCCGGTGCATTGCAAAGACCAAATGGCATCCTTCGGTAAGCAAATGTCCCAAAAGGACAAGTAAACGTTGTTTTTTCTTGATCCTCGGGTGAGATGGCTATTTGAAAATAGCCGGAAAAACCATCCAAGAAGCAATAAAATTCATGACCCGCCACTCTTTCTAGCATTTCGTCCATGAACGGTAGGGGGAAATGGTCCTTCCTTGTGCCGGCATTCAGTTTGCGGTAGTCAATGCACATTCTCCATCCGGTAACCATTCTAGTAGGAATTAGTTCATTCTTACTATTGGTTATAACGGTGATTCCTCCCTTCTTCGGGACTACTTGCACGGGACTCACGAAGTTGCTATCGGATATGGGATAGATAATACCGTAGTCAAGAAGTTTGAGAACTTCCTCCTTAACTACCTCCTTCATATTTGGGTTGAGCCTCCTTTGATGTTCTACCGTTGGTTTGTGGTTTTCCTCCATGAGGATCCGATGCATGCATAGAGTTGGGCTTATGCCCTTGATATCGGCCAAGGACCAAGCTATTGATGATGTGTGAGCTCTCAATACCCGGAGTAATTTCTCTTCTTGTAAAGGAGAAAGAGTAGAGGAAATTACCACGGGGTATGTAGAATTATCGCCAAGGAATGCATATTTGAGATGTACCGGTAGAGGTTTGAGAGTGGGCTTTGGAGGGATTTGACTTGATGGTTTGAGAATAGACTTCCTTTGCCCAAGGTCTTCAAATCTTTGCCGGTAAGGTTTATGAACGACTTCTCCTTGTAAGAACATCATTTGTTGGAAAATTTCAGAATTTTCTTCTTCTTCGGAATGCCCAAGTGTGAGACATGTTTCAAGAGGGTCTTTTTGAAGTTCTTTTTCAAACATCTCCCGAGTTATAGTATCAATGATGTCAATACTAAAACACGTGGAGCTATCATGATGTTTCTTCAATGAATCCCACACATGGAATTCTTGTTCATCTTCTCCTACTCGGAATTTGACAACTCCGTTCTTCACATCAATGAGGGCGGCGGCGGTGGCTAGAAATGATCTCCCAAGAATGATAGGAATTTCCATTTCTTCCATTTCTAAGATGAGAAAATCTACCGGAAAATAGAATTTTCCCACCTTAACTAGAACATCCTCCATAACTCCCAATGGATAGCGGATTGTTCTATCCGCTAATTGGAGAGCAACCGTTGTAGATTGAAGTTCCCCCACACCAAGCTTTTTAAAGAGGGAATGTGGCATAAGATTTATACTAGCTCCGAGATCACAAAGAGATTTTACCTCTCCAATGTTTCCAATAGAGCATGGGACGGTGAAGCTTCCGGGATCCTTCAACTTTGGGGGGAGTTTATTTTGAAGGATTGCACTACACTCCTCCGTGAGTGCTACGGTTGCAAAGTCCGCTAGTTTCTTCTTGTTTGAGAGAATCCCCTTTAGAAATTTGGCATAAGAAGGGATTTCCGCAATAGCCTCCGCGAATGGTATGTTGATGCTTAACTTTGTAAAAATATCAAGAAATTTCTTGTATTGCTTACCATCATCCTTCTTCTTTAACCTTTGTGGATATGGGATAGGGGGAACATAATTTGCCATAGTAGGGAGTGGCGATATATGTTCCTCCAACTTCTCCTCGTCTTGTGTCGTTGGTG